TGCATGGGAGACTGAGGCAGGAGAATCACTTGAACTCAGGAGGCTCAGGTTGCAGTGAGCTGAGATCGCACCATTGCACTTCAGCCTGGGCAGCAAGAGCGAAACTCTGTCTCAAAAAAATAGAAATCGCAAATAGTAATTGGTTTCTTTTGTCTCTTTTATGAACTGTCTTGTTTCCCTGTCTTTCTTGTGTTTTCTTATTTTGTGCTTCATGATGTTAACATGTTTTAAAAGTCAAAGACAGCTTTCTGGTAAAATGTCCTATAGTCTAGACTCATCTGACTGTTCGTGTCCTCATAATTAGATTCAAATTAAACATAGTGTACATTGCTTCTCCTCAGAAGGTGCATGATATTAGCTAGGATAAGTTTAATCACTTGGCTAAGATGGTGTTGACCAGGTCTCTTCATTGTAAAGGTGCCTAATCCTCTTGATAACTAAGAAGGATCTGTGGGGTAATCTTAGAGACCATGTGCATGCTTTTTCCCCTGACAGTGATTCACACAATTGTTTTAGCATCCACTTTTTTTTATCATTATGTGAATCGATTATTAAGTTTCTCGTTTCAATATGGTACTAACTTGATTTCTGAAGTCATTTTACTGAAGAAAAAATGTCCTTTCCATGCCCATTTCCTGCTTGGGGAAAATCTAGGCCCCAAAGACAGATGCATGGCAGAAGGATGGATGAAAGTGAAACTTGAAAACAACTATCCAAACACACACTACTATTAAGATGCTTAAAGAGTTTTCTTTTTCTTTTATGAGTGGGTATGCAGGAAACCTCTACCCTGGAGTAAGAACTCTTTATTTTAGAGATTTGTGCTTATAATAATCTTTATAGATGCAGATGAGGGAAAACTAAATAAATTGCCCTTCTGATTTTCTTTGGTACTGAGAGAATTCAGTAGTAATAAGATGAATTTTCTTTTATGCCACAATCTGAAAAACGATGATGTCTACCATTCCATTTGAAAATGTCTTGGAAGTAGTTTCCTATAAAGCAAATTATGTTGAAATTGAATGGGCATTAAAACCGCGGAATTCCTTTGAAAGGTGGGATAAAATGGAAATTGTTTTTCTTGGTACTTCTTGATCTAGGCTAATAATCCTTTGCGGGAATTTGTCCTGAGTCTTTTTACTCATTCTGCTCATGACTGGCTCACTCAGTGACTGCCATCTGATGAAGATTTTATTTTGCTCCTGAAAGCAGGGTGTTGTTCTATTTGTTGAGGTATTAGTAAGTAGCAGGGAAAGATTGACTCCAGGCAATGCAATGTAAAACCCACTCATCCGTCTTGAGATTGGAGGTTGTTCTGCATACTGTATAAGTTCTCCCACTTGTAATTTATAATGGGGAGACATATTTTTGAAGAAATTAACTATTCATTTTAAGTCAACAAAATTGTTCTTTATTATTGGGGAAAGGACTTCAGTACTCTCTAGGAAATCATTTACAATTTGCTTCATTTTTTGTTTGTTTGTTTTGTAAGAGGATTTTCGACACCGTTCTTGTGGCCAGTTGCATTCGGACCCATGTATCCTCTGGAGCCGTGAATTTACTAGTGATCCTTGAGCCTTGACCTCCCAATGTGCTGAGATTATAGGCATGTGCCACCTTGCCTGACAGATAACATATTTGACACTATAGTGAAAAGATATTGAGATATTTCCTATTTTAAAATACTTTGTCTTGCATTTTAATATATAGCATGACAGTTAACCTCAGAGGGTATGGAAAGCTTACTTTATTGTAAAGGCTTGCAAAGCACATTGCTTAAATTTTAGGGATAGGTTCATACCTGCCAAACAGGTTTGTAAAACACTGATGAAACTAAAGAACAGCATATCTTACTTAGCGTAGACAGTCTTTTAAAAAGTATTTTGGTTGAGTTTGTCCTAGAGCTTAATTACTAGAGTAAGAATTAAAATAACAAAACTGGTTGCAAGTCTCTTAAGGGTAAGAGGTCATTTTTCTTTCAGGCCTATGATAGTGTCTAGTCTAAAGCAACAGTAAGGCTCCATGCATATTTGTTGAATGAAATTTTCAATTTAGTTCATAAATTCCTCTGGTCTTAATACATTTCTCAATCGATAGGTCGTCATCGCATTTGACTTCTACTTGATGGCCACATTCTCTTCTTGTCTCTCTCCCTTTCCATTCCTATTCTTGACCCTACTGACCAGTTACTTTTGACTTAAAGAATAGCAACTCTTTAAGCTGTTGTGTTTCACTTTTTAAAAATTATATAAATAGGATATATTTAAAACATTTAAAGAATTACATAGAGTCAGAGAACTAGATTACCCCATACTAAACACTGTGTTAGGATTTTTTGGCTTTTTTTGAGACAAAGCCTTGCTCTATCACCCAGGCTGGAGTGCAGTGGTGGTATCTCAGCTCACTGCAACCTCTGCCTCCTGGGTTCAAATGATCCTCCTGCCTCAGCCTCCTGAGTAGTTGGTATTATAGGCACCTGCCACCACACCTGGCTAATTTTTGTATTTTTAGTAGAGACAGGGTTTCACCATGTTGCCCAGTCTGGTCTCAAACTCCTTACCTCAAGTGATCCACCCACCTCAGCCTCCCAAAGTGCTGGGATTACAGGCGTGAGCCACTGTGCCCAGCCAACTGTGTTAGGATTTGCAATAAAAAGGAACTAAGACCTGGTGCTTGTCTTTGAGAACTCACAGTCTACAGGTAAAATACATATATAAAGAGGGTTGAAAAGTACAGGTCTGGGCAAGAAGGTGGCAGGGTAGGGACTAGGGGACAGCTAAAGGAGGGTCATCCTTACCTGAGGCATCAATATTGCCCCATAGTAACCCTATATATAGCAGGATCTTTAAGGATGAGTCTCCCAGGCAGTCAGGGAATAGAGAGAGAAATCCCTGCAGTTTTGTGTGTTGGCTGAAGTGAGGAACAAGAGTATCCCCTTGGGGAACTTTGTGAATATCGATTTTAAAAATATCTGGAAGAAGAGAAGGGCAAGGCATGGCACATGTTATCAGATGTGGTAGACATGCTAAGTTGGGGAAGGAGGTGTATGGTTGGATCTAGATGGAAGTGGATGGAAGTCAGGGAACAGGTGTGGTGATAGGACTCCAAATCTTGGTGAAGTCAAAGATCAGGCAAAGGAGGAGGAGTGTGTTGAAGTGAGTTGTGGGTTGGGCAGGTGTTCTCAGGGAGGCAGACAAAGTGAGAGGTCTCAGGATGTGATCTTGAGCACATTTTCCTAAAAAGGCCCGATTTTTGATCTCCTCCCTCCCACTGTGTTGTCTTTCCTGGGCCATATTCACCACACTTTCTTTCGCATGCATTGTTAACCAGCCAAGATCTCCTACCTCCACTACACACCAATTAAAGTCAGTTCAAGTCCTCTACCTTAAATAACCTCACTTGTAACTCAAAGAACCTCACATAGGAAACCTTTTACAACCAACCTCCCCATGCTGAATGGGTTATTCTTTCATTAGAACTCAATGTTTACTCACTACAGTGTATTATCACTCATACCCTATATAGTCATATGTTTGCCTGGCTTAATCTCTTAAATAAGTCTTGTGAACCTAAAGATTTAGAGTTTTATTTATTTATTTATTTATTTTGGCAAGCTAGAAAAGCATCTGGCACTCCTATTTGCTAAATATTTATAGAAGAGAGGAAGGAGAGGGATAAGGAAATTGAAATTGAGGAAAGGAAGGAATTTGAAACTAAAGAGTCATATGCTTTGCAACATAAATTCTGAAGGTCACACAGGTTGGTAGTGCCAGCCGAAGAAGGAGGTTGTTGAATGAACCTGTGGTTGAATGAGGAGTGTGGTAGTGATGCTCGGGGGATGAGAATTAGGGCAAGAAGGCTGAGGACAGCCTTCCTCAAAGTTGACATTTAGTGGAAGGTTTAATCACAATTGCAAAGGAATTTCAGAGGGCACAATGGGATGGGTTGGGAGAGGATTTGGTTAAGATTTGCCAAAAATCCTGGACTTTTGATAAATACTGCTCTGTGTTGCAAATATTTCAGTGAGAATTGACCGTTAATTAACTCTCACTCTTGGATATCCCTCGCAAGTTATCTGGAGAGTTCCTCAGAAGAAAGTACTTGCAGCAACAGTTATCTCATAAACTTATGTTATCTCATAAAAACTCTCACACTAACCCTGTAAGGTATGTATTACTATCTTCCACATCTTTTGAATGAGGACAGCTAGACTTAGAATGGTTAAGTGGCGTTCAGAGTCCTCACATTGCTCCTAAGTGGGCCACTACTACAGTCAAGGCAACACATGCTGGAACCCATGAGGTCGCCAGGGAATATCAGAAGTGCTGTCCCATCTCCTGAAATTGAAACTAATTTCCTCAGTGACTGAATACCCACTGCCACTCACTCAAGCCTTGCAAGTTCAACCCAAATCGTCCTGTCACCATGGGAATCTGATGGGTCACACTGCTGCCTACTGAAAATGGGGATTTGCGTTAATGATAGAATAGGTTAAAATCCATAAAATAGGTAAACTAGGGTAAAATACAGTAAGAATGAGTGAGAGGAGAGAAAAAGAATACTTCCATTTAGGAAGCATAATACCACTTAAAATTTCCTGAGAATACATTTGTCTTCTAGACAACACATATGCTTTCTTTCATTCCCTTTTTCTTTAATTTTTTTTTTTTTGAGACAGAGATTTACTCTTTTGCCCAGGCTGGAGTGCAGTGGTGCATTCTCGGCTCACTGCAACCTCTGCCCCTCGGGTTCAAGTGAGTCTCCTGCCTCAGCCTCCCAAGTAGCTGGGATTATAGGTGCCCGCCACCACCCTGGGCTAATTTTTGTAGTTTTAGTATAGAAGGAGTATCATCATGTTGGCCGGGCTGATCTCGAACTCCTGTCCTCAGGTGATTCACCTACCTTGGCCTCCCAGAGCACTCCCAGAGCACAGGGCCACTGTGCCTGGCCCCATATACTTTCAGTGTGAGTCAAGATGGTGTGCTGGAAGAGGAAGACATGGGTAACAAGAACATTTATTTTGTTTATTGAGGAAAAAATAAACTGATAGGGATTATTAATGGAATCCTTATTATAGATTATTTTAAACTTTGCAAAAAGTTTGAAAATCTGTCTATATGGGATGTCCTAATTCAAGGGTTTCTTGAGGTTGAATTCTCTTGCCTCTGTGAAAGCATCTTTTCCTTAGTGCTGGCCGATAGGGACGCTTGGTGGCCTTTACAGGGTGCTCCCTCCTCAGCGCAGGGGAGAGGACATGCTGCCTCAGCCAGCTGAAGGCCCACCCAAGACAGCACGGGGTCTGTGTGTGGGAAGGAGTGCCGTCCTTCTCCAGCTGCTCTGACAGGATTGAGGAGATCGCTGAAGCGCTTGTCCTTTGGCTGGCAGTTGCCTCACTTATTGTCTGCCAAGAAAATGAAGGATGTGTTAGGTAGACGTAGCCATGACAACAGCCAGGTCAACATTTACTCATTTATGGAATTCACGTTTGTTTAGCAAAAATATCCCAAGTAGGCCAAGCATGGTGGCTCACGCCTGTAATCCTAACAATTTGGGAGACTGAGGCATGTGGATCACTTGAGGTCAGGAGTTTGAGACCAGTGTGGCCAACATGGTGAAACCCCATCTCTACTAAAAGTACAAAAATTAGCTGGATATGGTGGCGGATGCCTGTAATCTCAGCTACTCAGGAAGGTGAGACAGGAGAATTGCTTGAACCCGGGATGCAGAGGTTGCAGTGAGCCAAGATTGCACCATTGCAGTCCAGCCTGGGTGACAGAGTGAGACTCTGTCTCAAAAAAAAATAAAAAAATAGACCAATGTCAATGCAAAGTTTCAATGCCCATTAATATCATTAATACTGAAGATACACGTTTTTGGCGGGAAGGGAGATATAGTTGTTAGCCCTTCTCCTTGCTTGCTACCCTCTTGTTTCTCTCGGCATTCCTCGGTCTTTTCCCTTCATCTTCACCCTGACTCCTTTCCTTGTTATCTGTCTCCCACTGGTACCACTCAGACCCCCTGGGCCCTGCCTCCCAGGGATTGCAAGATTCTGTGGTTCAACCCAGGCCTTTCCCTTGTCCTGTGAGGCGTCTCTGTGCTCACCTCAGCCAGCTCATGTTCCTTAAGCCTTAGAGGAGTCTGTGGAGACTGCACCACATCTTTATTTTCTGGTGGTTTATTTTCTGGCAGGTCTTGACAAGCATCGTGTTCTTGATGACTGACCTGAGCCATTTCCAGCGGGGAGCCTCCGGACAGTTGGAAATCTTTCTGAGTAGTTTCAGGAAACACAGCATCATCATCTTCATCATCTTTCAGGTTTTCTAGAAATGTCTGAAACTCTTACACAAGATTGTCCAGTTTGCTGACAGACAGTTTTGTCGTTTCTTTTGGGAACTTGTCTATCCACAGGTTGTCGTCATTTAGAAGGCTATTAGCTATTGAGTCTGTGTTCCAGGACTGACGTCCGCATCCCAGGCCAGGAAGATGCTTAGTTTGCAAAACCGCTCTGATGTGTCCTCAATTTGGTCTTGTCTTTTCATGGGTCTCCGTATCCTTTCAGTCCCCCATGCCCCTTGGATGGGAGGGAGGAAGTGGATGGAAGGACCCTTGGAAGGCGCATTTTCATAGGAGATTGTGTTCTCACAGGAGGTTGTGTCCTCACAGGGGAAGTAGCTCATGGAGAGGCTCAGGTTGGAAATGGATTTGGAGCTGTAGTTGTCTGTGTCACTGTTAGAGGATGCATATGCCATGGAGTTCAAAGACACAAATCTCTCTCAACTCGAGTAGCTTCAAAAGAGAAAAAAAGAAAAAATAAGTGGGTGTGGGGAGAAGAGGATAATGGTACTTAAGCAAAAACAGTATCCATCCATTATTCTTTTTTTTTTTTTTTTTTTGAGACAGAGTCTCACTGTGTCACCTAGGCTGGAGTGCAGTGGTGCCATCTCAGCTCACTGCAACCTCCGCCTCCCAGGTTCAAGTCATTCTCCTGTCTCAGCCTCCCGAATAGCTGGGATTACTGGTGCCTGCTACTGCACATAGCTAATTTTTGTATTTTTAGTAGAGTTGGGGTTTTATTATGTTGCCCAGCTGGTCTCAAATTCCTCACCTCAGGTGATCCATCCACCTTGCCCTCCCAAAGTGCTGGGATTACAGGCATGAGCCACCATGCCCAGCCCCATTCCCTTTTCTATTCAGAACTACCCCATTTAGATAGAAGTCTTACTCTGTTTTTACAGTCTCTCAGTGAAGGGCAAAAGAGGCAGCCCTCTGCCTTTCAAACTTGTTTCATTGTGTTATAATGCTTTCTGCTAAGCATGTCCACCTCTCATCATTTGTCCTACTACACTTGTAAGATTTTATATCATAAAAGGATGATTATCATATACAATTGGAAAAATATAGAAACATATAAAGATATAAACAAATATGCTATAGTCCCACCTTCTAAAGGTAATGATAACTATCAAAACATTTTGATCGACTTTCTTATCTTTTCTAGTTACATAAATGTACATATATATATATATATATATCTACACTTATACAATATATCCACATATACATATATGTGAATGTGGCTGTCCTTTCTGTTGAAACTGAGATTATTTTATGGCATAGCCTAAAACAAACATATATATTGTTACTCTGCAATTTTTAACCACTTCTTATTAATGATCATTAGGTGGAAATTATTGTTTTTACTAAATCTGTAGTAAACCTGCTTTTCCATAAATCTTTGACTATGTCTCTTATTTTTCTATATGTAGGATTACGGATGAAACATCACAAATATGTCATAATCCTGTGCTAAACTGATACCAAATTACTTTCCAGAAAGGATTTGCTATTTAGATGCCCATCCTCCCACCGTCTGATGACACTTTTTAGTACAGCTTTTTCTGTGAAGCCCCAGAGTAAGTAGGACTGAAGAACATACGCGTGTACACACACACACACACACACACACACATAACTGTAATACCCAGCCCTGGTGGCTGCCCACATGGAAGAAGTGCTGCTAACTCCTGAGGCAAAAAGGGGAGACATGAGAAATCCTTCATATCCTGAGTCTCAGTGGCTGAAAGTCCAACTGTCAGAACTCTGTGCTGTGAGACTGTTGGTTACCTTGGCAACACAAAGAACTGAGTTTGAGTTAGGAATATGGAAAGAAAAAAGGAAAAGGGGGGATATAAAGCCACAGAATCTGTCCCTTTGCTTCCATAATATTCTATGCCCATATCATGCCAGACTGAAGAGCAACCCTCTTGAGGGTAGAAGGATGAATGCATGAAGGTTACTTCTCTTGTCAGGTGGCTGTCTAAGATGGTTCCCATTTTTAGGAGATTTAGAGCTCTAAATAAGGGGCATGTGTATAAATACACACACACACACACACACACACACACACAGAGCAGAAAGCCAGGAAACACTTCTCTGACCTAAAAGAACCTCAACGCATTAGAATCTATCAATTTCTTAAGATTGTTTCCAAATATTTGTCTGTCACCATTTCAATTTAACAAAATTACAGCTAAAGTTTACCATGACTCACTCTCAGGGTTTTCACTGTAGAAGTGACTTAAATTTGTAGGCTCTGTTAAGTAAGATTGTTTAAGGAATTCTGATGACACGATAGAAGAAATAGGCAGACTTGGAGTTGGAAAGAAGCAGCTTCTACTACCCAACAGATGCAGCCTGGCAGCCACAGACTGCCCACAACTCCCCTGGGTGATTGTGGACCTGGATTAATCCTGGAAGCTGTTTAAGTCAGAAGCAACATGTTCCCAAGCATTTACTTTATTTAATTATTTTTTATATTTAGGGGCAGGGTCCCACTCTGTTGCCCAGGCTGGAGTTCAGTGATGTCATTATAGCTCACTGCAGCCTCAAACTCCTGGCCTCAAGCACAGTTCCTCAGCCTCCTGAGTAGCTAGGACTACAGGTGCACACCACCATGTCTAGCTAATTTTCCCTAGCACTTATTTAACACTTATTATATGCAGGGTCTTGTACTAAGCACTTGATATGTGTCATTTGTTTAATCCCCACAACAACTCAATCAGTTAAGTATCATCATATGCCCCATTCAGTAGAAGGAAGAACCAAGGCATGAATGGTTGTATAACTCTCTCACATTCCCGATCATAAACCCAAGATCCTGGATTCAAACATAGGTAGTCTGGCTTCAGAGCCCATGTCCTAACCTCTTCACACTCTTGTCTCAGGAGGCTGACCATCCACATCCTCCCTGGAAGATTCCTGGGGGAGTTGATTCAGGCCAAAATAAACCCATGTTCTGGTTCCTTGGAAGAAAATCCTTCAGGGGAACAGCATGTGCTAAGATACTTGGAAGAGATACATATGGTGTACAGGACTGGCCTAACAATGGTGTCCACATTTGGGGCATGCCAAAATGAGATTTAAAATAAGCATTCAGCTTTCTCTTTGGCATAATGGAATCTGGAATCTTTGCTCTGGTTTTCATAAAAACTCGGAGACTGTCTTCCAGAACTCTGGGGGCCTAGGAAAGAATTCATAAGTAGCGTTCTCTCCATGCAGCTGGAGCGGAGCTGGGGGAGAAACTATGTGTTGTCATTGTTTATGGCAAGGGAGCACTTTGAACTGAATATAAACATTTAAGGAAGAAATGATTTCCCAGCCTAAACCACCAAAGTTTAGAGTGATCCTGAGGATAGAAGAGCTTCAAAGGGAGGCAACTTCATAGAAAACTTGAAATATTATTTAGGTGCCTCCCATGTTACCAGGGAATTTTGGGAGCTACAATTTGAGATTTGAGTGGGGACAGAGCCAAACCATATCAGATATATTCTCTATAATCTCTCTCTCTCTCTCTCTCTCTCTCTTTCTCTCTCTCTCTGTCTCTCTGTATGTGTATACAACTTTTAAAATATACAACTCATTTAGTGAAAGTACCTGAAACACACTTTACTTGCCCTAGAAAAATATATAATCATTTAGGTTTTTCTTTCTAAAGCAATGACACACATTATAGAAATAGAAATAGCAATGACACACATTATTCTTAGGATGCCATGTAGTCAATTCTACATGGTAACGTCACCTCCAAAAGAAGATCAGGGGGCTTAGGGGTCCTCATTAACAATACAGCTCATGTTAATTTCTTCCTTAGGGCCTTAATTGACTAGCAGGTCTAGCTTCTCTTGGATTACAATTATTACATTATCTAAGTAGTATAAACTGCCTTTTTTCTTGAAGCAAGATCAACTATAATAAAGCTTCTTGAAGTTTTAGAAATGATAGTATGATGTGGATTTATAATGTCTTAGGCCTGAAGCCAATCATAACTAAGAATTGGAACACTTCCTAAGATTCATTTGACTTGATGGGATTTGGAACCTAAATATACAGAGTAGGAAGTTTCTAATTTAGAAGTTAAGCTGTTATGATGCTTAATTTTATGTATCATCTTGGCTAGACCATGTGGTACTCGGATATTTGTTCAACATTATTCTGGGGGTGTTCACAATGGTGTTTCTGTATGGACCAGTATTTGAATCAGTAGACCTAGTAAAGCAGGTTGCCCTTCCCGGTATGGGTGAACATCATCCTATCCATTGAGGCCTGAATAAAACAAAACACTGAGTGAAGGAGATTTTGCACAGTCCTTCCTTGCTCCTGGAATCAGACTGGCCCTTACACTATCAGCTCTCCTGCTTCTCAAGCCTTCAGACTCAGACTGTAACTATATCATTGGCTTTTCTGAGTCTCCAGCTTACAGTTAGCAAATCTTGGGACTTCTCAGTACACATAACTGCATGAGCCAATTCCTTAAAATCTTTCTCTTTTCTATTTCTTTTTCTCTCCCTCCCTTCTGCCTTCCTTCCTTCCTTTTTCTTTCTTCTTTCTCCTTCCTTCCTTCCTTTTATCCATCCATCTATCCATCTCCTATTGGTTCTGTATCTCTACAGAACCCAGGCTAATACAGCTACTTCTTTATTTTTCATTTATCGAAATTATTAAATATTTTAAATATACAAGAAAGAGAAATCCTGAACCTGTGACAGGATGCACTGAGGGCACAGCATCGTTGCCATGGTCTTCTTGCCAACAATGTATAATCTCAACCTAAACATGAGAAATCTGACAAAACTCCAACCATGGAACATTTGACAAAGTAACTGAAAAGTGTCAGGTCAAGAAAGGCAAGGAAAGACTGAGGTACTGTCACAGACTGCAAGAGACTAAGGAGAAGGAACCACTAAATGCAATGTGTGATTCTAGAGAGGACTGTAGAATAAAAAAGGACACTAGTGGAAAAATGGGAAATTCCGATACCATCTTTGTTTTAACTAATCACGTTGTACCACAATTAATACCTGGTCTGATCATTCTGCTGTGGCTGTGTAAGATGTTAACATTAGGGGTGTAAGCCGAGAGGTATATGGATGCCCTGTACTGTGTTTGCAGCTTCTCTGTAAGTCTAAAATTAGGTCAAAATAAAAAGTTTAAAGAAGGGTTGGACGTGGTGGTTCATGCCTATAATCCTAGCACTTTGGGAGGCCAAGGTGGATGGGTCACCAGAGGTCAGGACTTTGAGACCAGCTTGGCCAACATGGTGAAACCCCATCTCTACTAAAAATACAAGAAATTAGCCAGGTGTGGTGGTGCGTGCCTGTGGTCCCAGCTACTTTGGAGGCTGAGGCAGGAAAATCACTTTGATCCAGGAGGTGGAGGTTGTGCCACTGCCCTCCAACCTGGGCTACAAGAATGAAACTCCATCTCAAAAAAAAAAGTTAGAATAATACATGAAAGTATAGAAAATGATATGACAAATGCCTATGTACTTAAATCTCAGTTTGGTCAAGTCTTACCATTTTGCCATATTTATTTCATTATATCTTTAAAAAGTAAACACAGTTAAAACTTAAGCCCCCTTTTATTTCTTTCCCAAACACCTTCTTTCCGTGCTCTCTCATGAGCACTATTCTGAATTTGCTGTTAATCTTGTACATGTTTAAATGCTGTTTTACATATTAGTATATTGTTTCACCTTTGAGGACAAAAACTTATGGAAATTTGAATTAGTAGTATTACAGAGTAGTGTATACTTAGAACTTAATACTACTGAACTGTACACTTAAAATGATTAAAATGGTATTTTTTCTTTTTCTTTTATTAAAGTTGTTTTTAATATGTGTGTTTATGGGGTACAATATCATATTTGGACACATATATATTGTGGAATGGTCATATCAAGCTAATCCTGATGGCATAGACATCACTTGAAATATTTATCATTTTTGTGGTGGAAACAATTGAAAATCATCTCTTTTAGCCATTTGTAAGTATACAGTACATTATTATGAACTGTTATCACCTTGCTATGCAATAGAACACCAGTCTTATTCCTCTTGTCTCACTGAAACTTTGTACTTGTTGACAAATGTCTTCCCTTTCCATCTCTACTCCTGAAAATGGTAAATTTTGTATATATTTTACCAGTAAAAACAATTAGGGGGAAAAAAGAACAATGTAAATGGACTACAAGTGATGCTTTTCAGAAAAAAGGAAGTAGCCTTATTTCCATCGCTCATTTTGTTTTATAAGAATTATTGTGACAAGGACTTCCTTCTTCCAAACGAAATTCTTCGCTGAAGTATTTATAATGTTTATTTTTGGGATCGGGGAGAGGATGGGTATTATTTCCTATGCTCTGTTTATATGTTCATTCCCAAACAGATACAACTTAATCAAAGATTGTGTATTTAATTAAAGTGGAGGGGGTGGTGGAAATAGGCAGTTTTGGTGTGTTCAAGGTTGAAAAGTATCATACCTCTTCCAAGGGCTACATACTCTGCCTGGTGCTTTCCCATGGTTGGTAATTTAATTTTATGACAGCCTCTGAGTTGTGTATTTTCATTCTAATATTAAGGTGTGCAATTCTGAGGACGTAGATTCACCTCTGGAGTCCCTGCAACTGTGCTGCCACTTTTGAGAACTCTCCTCAGCTGATTTGTTTGTGCATCGTTGAGTGACATAGTCCACAGTGCTAATAGAGAAGAGCTACAGGTTCCCTTTCCCACAACTCTACCATTTAGCATGGCCATGAACACAACGTACAGACTGAATTCTGCCACACATGTAATGGCCAGCAGGCACCAAAACATCACACAACCTTGTTCTGTAAGCTCCAAAACTGTGGTGCCCAACAGGGTGG